TTTTATGCGAAGAGTCTAAAAACATTTTCGAGTGTATGATGCAATGTTTAAGTGAAAATAATATTCTTCGACTGAGAGCTTCAAACTTCGATGGGGAGCCTTGATTGTAATCGCTATATTTCAGTAACTATTAGGAGCTAAAACTTTAAATTCGTATCGTAGACAGAAAAGAAACAAGATCACATTCTGGTAAAAAGAAAAAATTTTGATGTGTCTAAGCTCAAAAGTTAGTTATTAACATTTTTTGACATAAGAAATGAAGCACTTATCATTTAGAAATGATCCTGAAAAAATGTCTAAACTTGTTGACTAATTAGCATTTAGCAATAATAATGATCGTACAAATTTAGATGTGCCAAGTTATGATGGTTGAGCAATGCTACTCAAAAGAGTAATACACATGAAAATTGACAAGAATATAAGGGAGAAGAACAAGCAGAATGTCCTGTGTTTCAATGTTAATGCTCGCTTTTATAAATGACGTGTGAATATTATGTTTTCTATTTATCTTATTTTTCAAATTCTAAATGATTTTGATCACTTTTCTCGTATGATTAACATTTTCTTTTTCTCCATAGGTTATAGGCGTAATTAATTAACATACAGTGTTACGTTTCAAAAAAATAAATATATTTTTTTCCCGAAAGTTCACAGTAAATAGCTGAAAGTTTGATATTGAACATAATCAGGATGTGCCAACGAAAAATTCAGTTTGGATTTAATTCCATAATTTTAATAGAATCCTTAAGTGATTTATTTTTGATTTTATAATATTTTTATACATACAGTTTTCACAATAAAGTCTGAGATGATTCGAAAAGTGTATATTATATAAATAAAGATAAATTTTCACATTGAGAAAAATCTATTGATTATTTTCTACTAAAATATATTTATAAGTTCCATACTAATATTTCATATCACACCGACAATGTCAATATAATAAGTGAACAAGAAACCAATGAAAAATAATCTTACCGACCATCGATGGTTGTTACAATGTGAAAACCTATTACCAAAAATATGTTAATTTATAGTGTCACTTAAACTTGTGTTAAATATTCTTTAAGATATTTTCGATTTAATAGATTAACGAAACAAATTTGAAATTGAATGCTTTATTATTTTTAAATCTAAGAATTTTTTTTAGTATGAGAACCTGTTTAATATTATAAAATATATTTGTTTTCAGTGGTGGCACAATCAGGAGGTTGGGAGTACCTTCTCATGGTCTAGAAATTTGCGCCGGAGTTTTCTCCGAGTTTAAGATTTGGAAGGAAAATTTGGTCCTATTTTCCTTCGCTATTCTTCCTGTTTTTCTCTTCGTACCGCTCCTGTTTATTTTTTAATGAATTTCAAAAATAAATTTCTTTCGATAATTTATATTATTCTACAAAGATAAATGTCAATATATACTAAAGTATCATCGATTTTCGCCATGTTTTACCATTATGAACTAACGAAGTTGTGTTATTTTTAGTGTTGATTTCGTTTTCAAAATCTATGAAAGTTTCTTTTATAATTAATGAAATTATTTGAATAAGTATAAAAGTTACATAAATGATGTTAACTCAATGATAGAATAAATATTTGTTCATCTATATGTATTAGAACGGAAGAAAAAGTATGAAAATATAAAGTTCAAACTTTAGTAAACAATTTCTAGAGAACCAAATTTAAAAAAGTCTCGACAATTCTAAATAAATATTTTTTATTGAACAATCTTTGATCATCTAAATGTAAAATATATGTGTTATTAAACGGAATTATTTTCTAACAATAGAAGGTGTTGTAGAATAAGTTAAAAAGATTAGACATATTCAAGAGAAATAAAAGCTTTGATCAGTATACTAACAAGTTTAAAATGTGAGCCATTGATGATGTACACTGACTGAGATATTCTAATTCTATAATTTAACGTGTAAACTTGTTTAAAAATGAATGATTGCTTATTGAAAGAATGAATATTTCAAAACAGTACAAAATCATCATTATGATGATTTTCAAGCAGAAAATTTTAATAGATTCGTTCGAAACAACAAAAAAAGAAAAAATTAATTTTCATCATCTTGTTCAATCATATCTTCATCATTTTCTTCTGCTTGTTGATCATCATCATCATTATCATCATTATGTTGTTCATCATCTTCATCATGTAAATCAAAAACTTGAACTTGTTCATTTTGTTTATTCCAATGAACTTTAACTTTTATTTTAAATTGTGCTAATGGACGTTGAAATAATTTTAATAATTTAGCTTGTTCAGGTGTTAAAATATCACCTTTTGAACAAATAGTAAATGGTTTAAGTAAATGAATAATACCTTTTTTTAAAGTTGTCATTAAACCTAAAGATCTTAATAAAGGTTCCATTGTATGTTGAAAACCATCTAATGATCCTTCATCAATAATAACAGTTTGTTTAACATGATTTCCTGATCTTGCATAATCTTCAATTTCTAATTGATTAAAATATTCTAAAACTTGTTGTGGTGATCGATTTGTTAACATTAAACCAACTTTTCCAACAAGATAAGGTGATATTTTTGATAATGATGGTAAATATTCCGTTGCTGGTGTTCGTCCTAAAGCAAGTCGCATAACACGATTTTTTCCAAAGAAAAAATATGAAGATTCAGATGGTGGAAAATGTTGACGAACAATTTGTAATTTTTCTGTACGTTCATTATAAAGACGAATAACAAATAAATTTGAACATTGATCAAGACGTGAACGAATTTTTTTAACTAATTCTTGTTTTAATTCAAGACCACGATTTGTTTTTAATTTTTTTGATGATTTTGATATTGTTATACGTTGTGATCGTTTAGATTTAGGCATGATGATGATCTAAAAATATAAACTTTCGATTTACTATAAGAAAATTACGAAAAAAAAAAAAATTATTATTATAATGTGATATTTTATCGAATAGAATAAGACGAAAAAACAAACCTCTATACAGGTTATGAGAGATTTTATTGGTTGAATTTATTTATCCAATGATCTCCTACAGAATATTTTACTTTGCCAAAAAAAAGATTCTTTTATCTGAGCATCAGCAAGAAAATTTTTTTTTTGTATCAATCTCATCTAGATCTAATAAAATCTGAAGAAGTCTACGATCTGACTCAATATCATAGATCGCGCTATGTACTTTTTTATATTTTTTACTTTAAACAAAGGTATTACAAAATCAAGTATATTGCAGTTTAAGATTCACTGTAAGAGAGTCCTGATCGATTCTGTTCAATCGAAGTTGCCAAACCCTTGCTTATATCTTCGTCTAGACTTAAGTAAATATTGACATGATCAAGTCTCTTCAGACCGTCCTAAGCGCCACCTTCAAAAGTGACGTCCTTCAAATCGATTGATTGAGATTCATTCAAACTTTTTCTGCAAAAACTATTCACTAAGATGTATCAAGAGCTGTAAACAAAAGTTTGGAACCTTCAATTGAGTAGTTTGAAAATGACATGAATGCTTAAAATAACCGGAGAAAATCTGAAATGATCATATGGCTTCTTAACAATCTTTAAGCGGAGATTTCCTCATCAGATACTAATATCTCGGCTGGCGCACACCAAAAATGGCTAAAAATTGACTCTTCGTCTAAAATAACATACATTAGATGATGGAATAAATTTTACATGAATATAAAACTTTTATTGTACGTTCCACTGTGATGATACTCCATGTTTTTCCTACAACAAACAACTCTTAAACATACTCTAGGCCTCACAAGGTAACCTCCTGAGATGCTAAAAAGCTTTTGAACTCAAAATAGGCGGTGTATAGACTAGAAAGTTCCCTAAGATAATATTGGCGCAAGTTACGATCTGGCTGAGATATGAGTTCTTTCTATAATTCCTCTGTAGGAGCTTATTTTTTCGATAAAATCAAAGTTTCGAATTTTGGTCTGAAACTTTGCGTACATGGAGATCTCTAGCAGATTAGCTTATCTACAAAGTTTCAAAATTTTTGGAGAAATCATTTCTGAAATATGAGTATATTAGCATAAAGATGCTTTTATAGGCATATTGTGTTATCGATGAATATTTTGAAAAATTTATATCTCAGAGATGATTTACCCAAAAATTCTGAAACTTTGTAGACAAGCCAGTCTAATAGAGATCTTCATGTGAGTAAGGTTTCAGACTAAAATTCGAAACTTTGATTTTACCGTAAAAATGGGATCCTACAGGCATCCTAGGACTTTTCTAGTTTATACATCACCTGCTTGTGAACAAAATTTGAGCTCAAAAGCTTTTTAGCACCTCGGGTGATTCCTTCGTCAGCCTCACTCTAAGTGATGTTTGCAATATGCTAATTGAATGTAATGATATACTTTAATTGTACATACATCCAAAATAAAATAATACACCATTTAGTTTTTATTTATATTTGAATAAGCGTTTCAAGAACTTTCTGGGTGGTTCAGGTAATGTTTGTATTAGAAAGATAATGAAAACCTTTCAACTTAGATTATTGTTTGTTAAATCGTCGAAAATCTTCTATTAATAGGCTAATGATCTTGAGTGAGAAAAAAGGATTGTGAATCGAAAAAGCAAATAAACTTTTCTGTATTTTTCTACTGCTGATTTAAGTGATATACATCAAATAAATAGATTTCGCTGTGGCAATAGATCTAATTGAAGTTTATTCTTAATCAAAGATGTACACATGATTGATGAAAAGACATAAAATAATCTTGATTTCGAAATATTGATAGTAAAACACACACAAAAAAAACAAACAAAGTAACTATTCATTTTGATTGTTTATTGAAAAGATAAATTCTCACCAATCATTCCATAATAAAGAAAATAATATAGTCAAAAATAAGTCAAAAGAAAAATATCAATTTTCTTTCATAATCGCATTGTTTTTTTTTTCTGTTTCTTTGGTTTTGTTTTTTTTTAGTCATAACATAAACGATAAGAAAAAATAAAGAATTTATTAGATTTAAAGAACTTAGAGAAAAATAAAATAAATTGTTTATTAATATTTGTATTGAAAATCAACACGCAAAAGATATTTCATACTAATTTGATCAGTATCATAAACAATATATTCATTGTACAATAACGAAGTTTGTCGAATATCTGATGAAATTCCATGACCCATTGGAATAACTACACCATCATTTGTATGATAATATTCTATTTAATAATAAAAAAAAAAACTTATTTATTTAAGATAATTTTTTAATAATAAATTAAAACCTTTTGGATTTGGTATAGTTGTTCCACAACCTTTTGTTGAATGAGTACCCTTTGGTAAAGTTGATGCAGATAATGTTGTTGCTTTATAACATTCATACATATTTCCAAGTGCAACTTCACATAAAAGCATTAATCCTTCAGGAGATTGTTTTGATGTAAAACAATAATTTGCTAAATTATTCGTTTTTTTTTTTAGATTGATTAAATTTAAATAAATAATAAATAAACTTACCACTTTTTGAAACCATATCAGCAAAATAAACACCTTTACCAAACATATAACCAGTCTTAAATATTTTTGTTTTTTTTTAAAAACAAATATTAATTAATCAAAAAAAAAAAAAAAAAAGTAAAACTTACGACAGGTGCTTCAGGTGGTGCAATACGTAAACCTTGACTAATAATACCAGCAAAATTAGTTGTTCGTGAACCATGCCATAATAATTGATGATTATCAAGTGTTTGAAATTTTTTAAAACGATCAAATTCTCCTTCACGTGCTGTTTTAAATAATTCACGTAATTTTAATGTATATTGATCATGAGTTTTAGCATGAGTATTTATCATATATTGTTCAATAAGTTTAAATTCATCTGAATTATGATCAACTGGTTCAACTACACATTTTAATTTCTTATAATGAACATCTATTGGATGTTCACTACTATCTATTGTATTATTTGATTGATCTAACATTGAATAAGCTATTTCAATTTCACGTAAATTATCAATCATTTCAGTTTTAGTTTTTATTAATTCAACATTATCAAGTAATGGTAATGAACCCAAACCACAAGCATGTGGAATCACTAAAATTATATTTAAATTAATGTTGAAAAGTAGAAAGACTATCAATATCTCGAAAAAGTTTTTATGGTGAATATCCGAACTCGAATCTGACCAAGGCTTCGAATGCTTCTATGATTGATCTAGAAATAAGAGGATCTTCTTCCTTTCCGAAGTTTATCGAGAACGGTTCTGTGAAAAATTATGAAACTTTCAGGGCAGATAGATCTCGATCGGTAGAGCAAAAAGTGTCATAGACTCAAAAATCCAAGATCCTTCCTTCAGGGAGATATAGGGTCCTCAAGGACCAAAAATTGATAGTAGTTTTTCCCTCTGCAAAAAGTTCTACTCGGTCTTTCTAAGTTGCAATGTTGTCTATGACAGCTAGGATCAAATTGGGATGTGCCTTTTTTTTTCTTCGAAAAATATTCTTCCTACGGCTCAGGAGAGGCAAAATACCGAAGATACTATCAAAAAAACGTGTTTTTTTCTAATGGTGCTAATCTTCAATAGGCTGCCAAATTTCACAGGAACAATATTATCAAGAAAGATAAAAAAAAAGACACATTCCTATTTGATCAAGATACTTATTAAAAAACTTTGAGTCCGATCGATTTTACCACGCGAGACAAAATTTCATTTTTTCCTTTGAAAATTTGATTTCGAAAAAAAACGTTGCACTTTTTGGCTTTATTAGCATAAAATTGAGGTTTTCTTTCGAGGTTTCGCATACAGAAAGGTGGTTTTACCTTCTTAAAATGTACTCGTTAGATAGAGGGTATTTAGATCCACATACCCAACACAAAAAAGTGAAAATTTTTGAGTCGGAAGAGGGATAAGTCCCCTTACACCTTTGATACTAGTCCCACCGAATGGCTGGTTGTCAAAGCGAACGATTTCATATGTAAAACTGAACCTTAAGATTAATCTTTTATGAAAATTTTCTTATCATATAGAAAAGGTGATCATATAATGATCAATTTTTGAAAACGTGATTTTAAATATACCGATAGTCAGGGTGATTATTTTGGCAGTCAGAAACGGCGTCTTAAACAATCTGAAACAGCTATAAAATGGCAGCGTAAAGACGTCGGCTTTTGGCCGTTTTCTTGAATCTGGGCAAACTCAAAGAGAGACCGATCAAAATGCATCGAATAAATCAAGCAATTAAGAAAAACGTTCTTCTTCGTGAAATGATCCACTTTCTGCAAAAATTCTTAATACTTCGGTCAATTTTTTTATAGATTACTTTGGATAGCAACCGGATTTTGGTACATCATTTATCTTTCACCAGCAGAAAATGAAATAAAAATAAGCAGACAATGCGATTGCGAGTTGAGTAGAATTGGGAAGAGATGGTCCACTAGAAGGTCGTCTGTTGTGAAAGGGAGTCGAGTCATAATGGGTTTCGTTTATTTTCCTCCTCTCGATCATTACTTCTACTATAGATTGATAAATTGTTTCTAACGATTTTTTCAAAACTAATATCTTGAGATGATATTTGTCTTAGATTCGATTAACTCATTAATGATAAAGTTTGTCATGGTTGTGTAAAAGTTTTCTTATTATATATGAAAAAACATAAAAATAATTATTTGTTAGAAAAAAAAATCTTGACAAATGAATGAATTGGAATAAAATAGAAAAATTGATTAATATTATATATGAATACTCACAAGTATAAAATCGATTACTTGCATCAATAATAGGTGTTTTTGATGTTGTAATTCTACTAGTAATTAAAGTTTGTAATTCAGTTAAAATTTGATAAGCTTTATCTAATTGATTTTTTGATAATTTTCCTAATGGCATTTTATTTAAATCAATATCAAACGATAATAAAGCTTGTTGCATATTTTCAACATTAAAAATCATTTTAATAAGTTCTTGAACTGAATAAGATAATTTTGAATGAATATTTAAATTAGCTGTTTCAAGTAATTTTTTCATTTTATCATTATCAGCATGTTGTCCATAATCAATTTCAAGTGGATAATGTTTATTTGGTAATTTTTGAAAATTTTTTCTATCTAACCAATTATTACCTGTTTTATCAAGAAATATTGCATGATATGCATTTATTGCATCATTTCGTCGACCAAATTCCTCAACTTTATCTCCACGAAATTCTGTACCTGTTCGACCCGTAAAAAAAACATAAAACATATTTATATATATATACTATTATAAGAAAATAAAAAAACTTATCAAGCTCTGAAGACAAACCATTTTTGACCACCATCAGATTCAAGTAATTGCATTTTATAAAAAGAATTAGTTCCACGTGTTATATCAACAAGACCAAGAACAGCAGTATATATATCACCGGTTTCTGTTTCTTTATAAACATGACAAGTATCTTCAAGTCCTATTCAAATAAAATAAATTTTATTTCGATTCTTATATTTTTAAATATATAAAAACCTGAATCAGGATCAACAGCAATTCCATCTTTTAATTTTAATTGAACTTTATCTGGTACAGATTTTTTTACACGAGCTTAAAAAAATAAAATTGAATTTTTTCTATTTGATTTGTTTTATTAAAAATTTACAATCAGATTTGTTTGATGCTGTTGTAAATGATTTTTGGCCAGATTTTAGTTTTTCTTCTTCATTTGCTTTAGTTTGTTTTCGAATATGTGGTAAAATTCCCCATGTTGAAATTTTACATTTTTCCATTATTATTGATGGACGATCATTATTTATTTCATTTAAAAATTCTTCCGAGACAATGTGAATTTTTAATTTTTCAGCATCTTGAAGTTTTTTACTCTTTTTTTCAATTTCATCTTTTTTTTTTGTTCAAAAAAATAAATATCAAATAAAAATAAAATCAAAAATCAATATGAAAATTACCTTTTGAACTAATAACAATTCCAACATTTTCATCAATTTTTGATGAATATGTACCACCTAATCGTTCAATTTCTTTTTGAATAGTTGCAACAGAACTTGATAAACGACCAGCTGATGATACAACATAACCAGAAAGTGGTAAATTTGAATCATATGTTGGTCTAAAACGATTGTTTCTTCTTTTTATTACAATTAAATAATCATAAAAAAATTAAACGACTATTAAATTATGCAAAAACAATAATAGATCAATTTCTAAAAACAGTTATTCGTATTCGCCTTAAACATGTCAATAAAAATTTCTTATTTTAATTTTCTATTCCTCAACAACAATCGTTTTCATTAGGTAAATCTATCTTCATAACTATTTTGAAGTTCTAATATTTCTGAATGGATTCTGTAAGGTTTACTATCATGTAATTATCTATATATATATAATCTTCAGTGTGTGTCTGTTTCTCTGTGCCTGGTCGAAGGTTAAAGGCCAAATAAGTCTATAAGGGAAAGGCACCAGGGGCTACTGTATAGAGACTCATAGGCCCTCAAGGGCTATCCTATGGAAGTACTCATAGCTTTTCCAGGGTCGCTCTATGTGGATGCCCATAGATCCTCAATGGGTATCCTATAGAGGAACTCATATGTCCTCAAGGACTGTTCTATGGGATATCCATCCATAGGCCTTGAAAGGGGGGTAAAACAAAAAGAGGATAAAACTACAAGAGCTACAAGGAATATAAGGCTATAAGGGCGAAGGCTACATGTACTATAAAAATATGTACGATATAACAGTATGAGACCGTAGGGTCATCTTTCTATATAGATAATATTGAGTGTCTGCATGTCTGTTATCGGATGAAAATTTAAGCATCTGAGTTCATAGGTTAAAGGAGAAAACAGCCGTACAGTATGCGCTGGCTCACACTAGTCATGTATATTGTTTGTCTCATAGATTTAATATAGATGAATATACTTCGAATTTTCTCGCTTTAATGGTCGAATCAATATTCGTTGAGTGAAGAAGTGAAGATATTTGTATCTTTCCGAAGATCTATGTTTCTTCTAGCTTATAGTCATTGTCTTGAGAAAACTATAAGTTTGCTTCTTTGCAGTTTCCAAATGATTTTTATGGGAAAAATGTTCAATAAAACAATGAGTAGAACATATGCATATTGTTAGTTTTCAGAGATGTTAAACTATTGAAATAAAAATTCAATGGAATATGAAAAATCCATAATCAATCGTTCATTAATAAAAGTTTTTGAGATAATTATCTTATATTTATTTCGATCAAAAACTCAAATAACGTTCAATGATTAGAATTGAATTTTTTTGATAGACAAACTTAAATAGAAAGTTTTCTTAATATAAACTTTAAAAACATAAAATAGAAATTCTTTTTTTCTGAAATTGAAATTCTATTCTAATTCAATATAAATAAATAAAGAGAAAAACGAAACTTACTCTTGAATAACTCGTGAAACATCAGGTGTTTTAGTAATTGTAACTTGTTTCTCAATAACTTGTGCTAAAATTCGATCACGTTTTTTATATTTATATGATTTACTAAACAAAACAAAAAAAAGAAAAAGAATTAAAATTTGAATAATAATAAAAAATGGTTACAAAGCATCATATTCTGTTTTAATATCATCAGGTATATCAAATGGTTTTCTTGTTGGTGTTCTTGTTGAATAAGTACATTTGGTCCATTCTGTAACATCACCCGTACAATGATAACATGAATGACTAAAACATCGAAAATGAAACAAATATGAAAAAAAGAAATTTGTAAATGAAAAATTTTAAACCTAAAAATAAGAAATCCACCACATTCAGGACAATGTTCTAATGTACCAAATGCCATACAATCTGCAACTGTTTCAATTAACTAAATTTTATAAAATAAATAAAATATTAAAAATAAAAATAATTAATATCACATTTGATTCTCCAGTAAGAATTTTTTGTTGATTATGTTCAAGTAATTCTTTTAAAACATCATTGGGTACTTCTTTTCTTAAAGCATCTTTATATTTCCAAAGTAATTCACTTTGTTCCTTTAACAAAAATGAAATCTCAATATGAAAAAAACTAAAAGTAAAAATACTTTTTTTTGATGTCTTTCTTCTTCTGCTGGTGTTAAACCATTATTATCTTCTGTTTTTGCTTGTTTAGCTTTTGGTGCATCATTATTTTCACTTGTTGTTGAACTTAATGTTTTATCACCTTTACGTTTTCGATTAATCGTTGATGAACCAAATTTTTTTTTTAATTCAGTTTGATCTTCTTTATTAAGATCATTAAAACCTGAAAATCTAAAATAAATAAAATGAAAAATAAAATGAAAAATAAAGAAAGAAAATATTCTAAAACAAATAACAAACGTTTCAGCAGTTCCATTAAATTGAAGTTCATCTTTATGTTCTTTAAAACAATCAATATGATACCATTGATCAGTTGCTGAATGATTAGAACTTGATGAAACTTTTCTTGATAAACGAACAAGATCTTTTTCAATTTTACTATTACAACCATGACATGTACTTCGATTTGATCGAGCATATTCAGCACTAAAATTTTTCGAATCGCCTTCTGCTTCATCTGATTTATCTTCTAGAAGAAATAATTTTTTTTAATTTTATTCTTTTTTTCTGAATTTTATTTACTTGACTCATCTTTTGATGTTCCGTCAATTTTTTTACGAATTTTTTCTTGATCATCCCAACGAAGATTATCGAAACCTTTTATTATTTGTGCATCAGATGGTTTCACTTTTCTGAAAAAACATCCCATATGATACCATGTTGGAATCTAAATAATAAATCAATAATTGTTGTTGTTTTTTTATTAAAATAATATTCAAATGTGAGACTTTTCCATCAAAACTTGGTGATTGAATCATAATAGCAAGTCGAAGTGCATCTTTGTCTATAGTTGAATGACATCCTTTGCATGTTGATCGATCTGATTTAGCATATTCAGCTCGAAATCCAGATTCATCCATTGTTTTTTCTTTTCGTTTTTTCACAAAATTTGAGTGTTAGAAAAAAATGAAGAATTACATCTGATGGTGCAATTTATATGAACAGAGAACATTAGTAAAATGACAATTGAATAAATATTAAACCAATCCTATCGTTACATTGAGAATACGTATTATTTTATTGTATTTTTAAAAAAGTTAAAGATTTTTATACTAAGTAATAAATAAAACATTTTAAGTAAGAAAAAATCTATTTTAATCTTGTTTATTTGCGACACCTAGCTTTAATAAATACACTACTGTCCAAAATTATAAGAACAGACGTAGAACTTTTTTCCATTTGCAACAATTTCTGTATCTAAACATATGCATTTTAATGTAGTCTCTCCGATGGTGCAGTCAGATGTGGTCATTTCAAATTTCAAGTTTGCGTAAATGGAAGTTTATTGAAAATTATGTCTCTGAAAAACATCAATAAAAAACAATGGTCAAGCTCAGTTTTTTGGCTACTAAAATAAAAATATAGATGAGCATACTTTTTCCAGACTTGAATCAGATAGAAGAGACTTTTTGCTACAAAATAAAACATTTCTGAGTTATGATGAACATTTTCTTAAAAAGATAACAACATTTTTACGTTTAAAACACATGAAAGTCGACATTTCTAAGGCAAATTTTACACGAAAAGCGTTTTTTGTTTTTAAAATGTTGTTATCTTTCTAAGAAAATGTTCATCGCAACTCGAAAATGTTTTATTTTTTAGCAAAAAGTTTCTTCTATCAGATGCAAGTCTGAAAAAAGTGTGCTCAACGATATTTTTATTTTAGTAGCCAAAAAACTGAGCTTGATCAGCGTTTTTTACTGATGTTTTTTCAAAGGCACGATTTTCAATAAATTTAGATTTACGCAAACTTGAAATTCAAAACGATCAAATCTGACTGCGCCATCGAAAAGACTACATTGCAATGCATATGTTTAGACACAAAAATTGTTGAAAGTAGAAAAAAAAATATATGAAAATAAAAATACTAAAAAGCTGTCTGTTTTTATAATTTTGAGCAGCATTCTAGTAATGATAATAATCTGTTAAAAAAATACTTTTTTAGTTTGTTATCAATTTTCATTCATAACCATTATTAGGCATGCACCAGTCCCAGTCGTGACTGGTTGAACTGGTACCAGTCGGACTGGGCATCCAGTCGGATTGGATACCCAGTCCGACTGGTCCCCAGTCCTGACTGGAGACCCAGTCACGACTGGGTACCTAGTCATCTGACCTTGATCCCATTAATCGAGTATTATTTTCTTCTATTCTAGTAAGGATGTACGAAATGGAGTCCAGCCATGCCAAAATCAAACTCAAATCATGTCAAACTCCAACCCAAATCTAGTCGAATCCTGTTAAACCCAGCGTTTGGATTTGATAGGATCTGGATTTGGGGCATGCCTAGAATGAATTCACCCCAATATATTAGAAAATAGGAAAATATTGTTCGATTAGCGAAGTCAAGATAAAATGCCTAAGTACCCAGTCGTGACTGGGTACTCAGTAAGGACTAGGTACCAATCGGACTGGATCCCAGTCCGACTGGGGACCCAGTTACTGGAACTGGTGCACGTCTAGTGACCATTGTCATTGTATTAAAGAAAATACTAAATTAGATAATATTAATTTATGTACATTATTACGTTTAATTGATGAAAACAATATTCTTGACAAATTCGAATTAATCAATAATGATAATTTACATTTATCATCATATTTTTCACTTATAGGTACATTTTTAATTATAATAATATCACATAGAAGAATAACAACAGAAGATTTATGTTTATTTTCAACAATATTACAAGATGATATTATTATTAAAAATATTTCAAATTGGTCAGTATTAAATGATTTTATTAAATTATTTCGTACTATTTTACATACTGAATTTGTTACGAATATTTATTATGAATTAATCAATGATGAAATAGAATCAAAGAACACTCTTGAAGCTGGTCGTTTTAAAGGTAAAAAAATTCTTTAAAAAAATCCTTTACATATAACTTAGTTAGAAGAGAAATACTTAAATAAACATTTTTTTTTTCAAGCGCTTAGTCAGATATTTCTTTTTAAAACGATTACATTTTTAAAATTAATATTTGCATAAGTTGCAGTGATATCCAAAAAGTAAACTAGTTGTTATAACATTCTACTCCTTTTTGTTTTCTTCGTTTGGCTACTTTTTGATTGTCAATAGTGTTCCGATATGAAATGACTCAACTAGATCTTGAACATTTGTTATATTGACCAACAAAAATCATTACTTTTGACCCTATTTCGAAAGAAAATATTATATAATTGGTATTTCTAAAATACACGAACATTCCCAAATCGACAGCTGATATTATCGGTAGATAGATCTCACTGAATGGATTCCACGAACAACCATATCTTTTGATAGTGTGTAGCCCTACTCGAGTTAGATACATCCTCTAAATTTCAGCCTTTTATATACTCGTATAAGAAAAATAACATGGACCTACCTTTTCAATTTTAAGTCTTATAATTGAAAGAGTAGGTCGATTCTATTTTCCTTACGCGAGCATATAACAATCTAAAACTTTGAGCATGTATCTAATTCAAGTAGGGCTACACACTATCAAAAGATATAGGTGTTCGTGGATGTTCGCATGTTTTACAAATACCCTTATATAATCGTTCGTATTTGAAACAAAAAATCATGGATGAAACCTTGTTCTGAATAGTCGAGTAGTATTAGTTCGTCTCTGTATAGTATAGTAGTAAATATTCGGCTAACCGATTTATAATTCTTGAAATAATAAACATTATTTTTAGAATACATTTTAATTATGTAAATTTGATATTAATCAATTACTGATAAATTATATCATACTGAACCTCATTTATTTTCTTATATTATTACATAGTCAATCGCTACTAAATAGCTATTAAATTCGAAAAATAATTTTCTATTTATCAATCAGATTTTCTAGCACTCGTTCACAAACGGCATCAACGAGTATAGAAAAATATCGCAATAAAAACGCCACAACTAGGAAGGATGGGCATGAGTGTTTGAATGTAGAAAAAGAAAGATACATCACATTCAACACAGTTTGCATGTACTACTTTGTGAAAAGTCTAGGAAAGATTTATTGCTAATGGTGACATAAAGATTACATGATACAAGTGGATAATAGTCTCTAGTAATAGATAAAAGTGTCCATATATATATATATGTATCGTGCATTGTAACAAGTCCTGATTTTAGCAATAACTCCGAATCATTATAGTTTTGGAGAATACTATTTTTTTTTAATTTTGGGCATTCTTATCAAAGAGCATTTAAATATAACAGGTCTTTGTCATTTGCTGTTCACAATGTATGGAGTATCGAAATAGTATAGAGCAATGGAAAACTACTTTTTCCACAATTCGTTTTATTCAGTTGCTGCTCATTGTTGTTGAGAAAGTTTCAAATATTTTCTTGATTTAAACTGAAACAATATAGCGGCTTGTTTATGAAGGAGAGCATTATTATCCTAACTTTTCCCAGAAAAATTTGTCAAGTGATAAAGAACATCTTCACTATTTTATGCATGCAATAGAAAGCAAACTGGTTCATTATTGACTAACTGATTAAATCCTTAAGTTCCATATTAAGTGAGTATTTTTTTAAAAATCTTTCTAGAGTTTAATATGCATATGAGATATTGTTCGTTCTATTATAGTTTTGTAGTGAACTATTTATAGATATAATATCATGGAAAAATTTATTAAAGATGATTTTCTTTTGTGTCATTTATGTTTAATTACTTGTTAACCAGAATTAACACGAATTAGTGTTACTCTAATGTAAAAAGCAAATTTTTCTAATATAAGATATAAATCGAAAATATTAGTATTATTGATCATCCAATAAAATTTAAGAAACTATCGATTAACCAACTCATCTCTTTTGAAAAATTATGGTTTTGAAAAAAAAATCAATATCATGAATAATATACTAGACAATGGACGCGTATTTGGTGATTTTAACCATTATATCTCTACTAGCGAGAACCCATGCATACTGCACGCCTGTATCCTCCTTTAACGTATGACCTTAAACGTTTAACTTTTCACCCGGTAACAGACATACAGACACCCGATATTATGTATATAGATAACCCTAAGGCTTGATACTCTTATATTGCACATATTTTTATAGTTCAGGTAGCCTTCGCCCTTATAGTCTTATATCCATTGTAGTTCTTGTATCCTTATCTCCTTATTGCTTTATCCCTTATTACCTATCTCCTTCCTGCCTTACTTCCTTGAGGTCCTATGGGTATCCCATATAATAGTCCTTAAGGACCTATGGGTACCCCCATAGGATAGCCCTTAAGGACCTATGGATACCCCCATATAATAGCCTTTAAGGATCTATAGATATTCCCTTAGGATAGCCTTTAAGGACCTATGGGTACTCTAATATAGTAGCCCATGGGTCTTCCGCTTATAGCCTTATTTGACCTTTGGCCCAGTACAGACAGACACTGAACATAATATATTTAGATTTACAACCAAATTGAATACGATACTCGAAATCAACATCGAAAATTGAGTTGGAGAATATATTGTTAATATGCAAAGACAAGACTATTTTTTCTAAAATAGTATGTCGCAGGTAGAGGTGTAAGCCGTGCGGCTGAGCCGCCGTCGCCGCCGATAAACTCGAAAAATTTTAAGCCGCCGCCGCCATGACAGTAGAAATTTTAGAAATTTTTAAGCCGTCGCCGCTGAGGCACTTTAATTACAGCCGCCGCGCCGCCGATAGTATTCGAAATTTTAAAATTATCGAGCCGCCGCCGCCGGCAACTATTGTAAATATCGATAACATTTCATTTATATTTTCCTTAATTCGATACTTTTACATCTTAGAACCCCAATATATCTCTTTTTCATTAACTTTCTCGCCTTCACCTTCATTTTCATGCTGGTTCTCTGACCAATCAGATGCTTGGGGTTCTAAATTGTGAATGAACCCTTAATTCTGTGTTGGTTGAAAATTCTAAGTTATCATTTTAGTTTATGTCTCTTATATTAGATATATGTCCCAGGCAAAATTAAACTTTAGGCAAAATTAAACTTAGGCAAAATTAGTTTTAGTAGGCGCGAAACAGCGATATTTTTTTTTATTGATTGTTGATCTGACTATCAATAGAAAAAAATAATTATTCGTCTACATAAACTGTAAATAAAAAAGCAGAACATTCATTTTCACATATGTAATCGTATCATAAGTACAGTGATGACTTCTCATTCAACATCAGAAGTTGAATCTCGAAAACAATTTTATGAGCAAGCAAGTAAACATCTTAAATCTTTCAATAGCAGATTTAGAGAAAAGATAGTACTCATGCTTTATTTTATATAAAATCGAATCAGTATATAGAGTATTATTTTGTTTATACAATTTTTTTTTAATTTTTAGTTTATGTAATAAGAATAATATGAAGACAACAGAAAAATTGATGTAATTATGAAAAAAATGAGAAAAAGAAAGTTCTCTTTTTTTTGTGGTATATTTTCATTTTATATTCGAGTTATTAAAAGTATACTGTAAATAATAATTAAATTTGTAAGACAAATAAATGAAAATACAGATGAACAATTGAAAAATTTTCGATAATTATTAAATTTGAATTAAATACGTAGATGTAATGCAAAAGTGCAGTGAATTTTTTTTATTAATTTATATATTATTTCAATTACATAATTCTTCCTTGCACAAGAAATTTCATATTACTTTTAACATCAACATCAACTGCTAAACTAAAAAATAGAATTCATTAATATACTTTGGTATTATTCCGGAAGAAATACCATATTTAATGGTAAAAACAATAAAATTTGAATTCGGTATAGACTGACATGAAATAAAATAAGATAATTTCAATTTTCTTCGATATATCTACTTAGGGTATTCCAAAAGTAGTGACAATGACACTTTAATACTGTATGGTAAACTTGAAGAAATTTTCTTTTTTTTATCTAGTGATAGAGAAAACGATGGTCTATTTTTCTGTGTTATTTGATCACTCTTCAACTAGTATCATTATAATAAGATAGAAGA